GATCTAGATCAGGATAGATCTGGAGTCATTCAGGCGGATCTAGATCAGGATAGATCTGGAGTCATTCAGGCGGATCTAGATCAGGATAGACCTGGAGTCATTCAGGTGGATCTAGATCAGGATAGACCTGGAGTCATTCAGGTGGATCTAGATCAGGATAGACCTGGAGTCATTCAGGTGAACGTTGATCAGGACAGATATAGAGTCATTCAGGCAGATTCAAGTGGAACTTAATGCAGTGACACAGGTCAGTTCTTGTTCATGAAGCACCTCAATGACAGAGCACCGTGCCAGTGGCATAAGAGAGTTTAAGCAATGAGGTCTTGATGGATTGTCTCTGTTAAGTGGTGGAAGGGGACAGAAAACTCGGTCTGAGTTAGTCTGAGTGAAGCAGCTCTTTGGGGAAACTGGGGGCAGTGAGCTCTGGCTCTCAGAGTTTCCTTCCCAGCCCACAGAACACACAGCACTCATCTGGCTCAGGTCTGAATTGACATGGCGTTAGTCGAGCTGGTTGAAACCTGTGAACAGTTTGAAAAGTTATGTCTTTAACCTTGTTTGTAAGGCCCTGTCTGTCAGGGACTGTCCTGGCTCATTTCCAGTTCATATGTTTAAACATTGCTTTCCAGAAGGATGTGCAGGGAGGAATGAAGCTGGGGATGCAAACATTCCTTGTGTGGTTATCATGGCACTTCCTACTTTTTATTAGCAGATATTACCTTTGGTCAATCTCAGCACTTTCTCGGGAATAATGTCGAAGACTGTGTCATTTTCCTGAGGGGTAACTGGAATCTGGAATCTCTCCAAAAATTCAGCATAAGACAACAATCTACCCTCTTTAGCTATCGTCCCACTAACTGCAACTTCCCATTCTACCATGTTTGCAAAAATATACTTTTAGTTTTGTTCTTTATTACTCCATTTATAGTATGTACTGTATGTGGTGAGAAATTCCATTTATATTAAATTCCAAGACAGTAAGACTTGAATGTGAAAGTTAGATAACCTAGTCAGGATTTTACTTGTAACAGAATGATATTTTAATAGAAAGCTGAGGTCAGCTGTATTTAACATTTTGGGGAATCAGGCTCCATATATTATGTTTGTTTTTAATATAATTTCTAATCCAGTTGATTTGGAAGGTTATATAAAGGTATAAACATCTGAAACATTCAAACCACCTTGGTTTTGGGTTTAACAAGAGAATGGTTTCTGATTGCATGAAATTGTTCTTCCATATGAAGTGCTAATACTTCAACATCATCACTGATGTCCTAAGAAAGTGAAGCACTCGCAAAAGATAAGATAAGACTTTATTGATCCTGAAGGGAAATTGAGTTGTTACAGCAGCCCAGTCAAAGACAAGCAAAAACAGACATCGGAAAAGACGAAAAATTAAAATACGTACAGTAATACAAAATAAATATAAAATAAGTATATAGTTAGGTGTGTACAAAATATGCTCATAAAAGGAGAAATACCCTCTGCTTTCGACAGTAAGTCACCACCTGCCAGCAATAAATGTCTTATTAACCAGGACTGAAAACGTTTTCTGTTTTGTTTTGTCTAAAATGAATGCAAAACCTAACTCACATCTCTATTCTTTTTAATGCCCAGATATAGAGTATTGTATTATCATTTCCTTTACCGGTGTATTATCATTTTTTCCTAAATCAGAATATTTAAGACAAAATAGTTCACATTTACTCATATTTAATGATAAACCTGGAACAGCTGAAAACACATTTCTACCTCCAACTGCATCAGCCAGTTCTCTTCCATCCTTAAAGAAAACAGTATTATCATCCACTAGCTGACAAATTTTAATTTCTCTTCCTTCAATATTAATACCTTTTGTAGTGCTATTATTGATATGTACAGCCAAAGTCTGAGTAGCTAATAAAACAGAAAAGGAGATATCGGGCAGATATCCTTGTCAGATACAGTACCTCTACCGGTTGAAAGTCTTGGAGAAGTTCCTGTGAATAGTCTCACTGAGCTGTGGCCTCCATTGTCAACTGTCTTAATAACATTTTGAAAGTAAAGACCAGATCAAAACACTAAGCATTTGAAACTAAATGGGTTCTACTTTATCAAAAAATTCATAAACGTATCAAATAACATCAAGCTGTCAATTTTTAGAATATCACTGTAATCCACCAAATTTCAATTAACAGGAATTATTACATCTATGTCTATCTTTCATGAACCAGATTGCAACTCATCAGTGATCTGATCCAGTCCTACCGTCAGTCTGTCCTTCCTCAGGCTAAGAGATTCACATCGTTGTCCAGCAGTGTCACAGGTCTCCAGTGTTCTAATATTAAACTGTCCTTATTGGGTTTGGGTGTAAGAGAGATCACTCCCTGTTTTATAAGGAGAGGGCATTTCTGTCATTTGCACGGATTTCTTGAAGACACTAAATAGGAAGTCTATCAACACATCTACTAACAGATAAAAATGGTAAAATCCACCAATCAGTTCCTCATTCCTGGGAGATCTATTGTCTTTCTGTTTAAAATGTTTACTTTGATTTCACTCTGTGTGATCTGTTGGTCACATTGCGATTGAATTGACTCATCTACAGTACACATCCAGCACCTGTCCTTATGGAGAACAGGAATGAGTCAATGTGTGAATTCTCCTGCCCTTTTAGAGAAATCAGCAACTTGAGAAGATATATCTCTAGGACTGTCCATAATTACACCATTAATATTTAACTTACTGATCAATTTAAATTCTAATTTCTTTTTCCAAGATTCCAGATCTCACCTGGTTGCAGTTGCAGCAGGTTCAGGTTTTCTTTCTCTTCCTGGGTAGAGTTAGTAATTTGAGGAAGATCGCTTACGGCTTTAACACTTGCATCGCCTCTGTTTCTTTTACAATTAACTAGAATTAATAGCAAGTTGTCTTATTTTACATTTCAAAGCAGCATCCTTTACAAAACTGAGGATTGTCCAGGAGATTCTTTTCAAATATCGAGGATATGTTTTTAGATTTCATAAATCCAGATGTACAAAAAATGCCTCTGTCATCTGTCAGAACTGCAGAACTCATCTGCACATCTGTAAAGAGATTTTCTCTCTCTTTGGAAAGTAGCCTCAAATCAAGTCCTGACTGTTTTGACGACTCTTGTTTGCACCATGACAACTCTTACTTCAGGATTCATGGACGTCTCCAGATATCAATGACACCCAGACAGAAACACAAACTGTCCAATTCAACTGACTCCACTACAGTTACCCTCTGGACCACTCATCTAAAGTATCATCACGTTCTCCAGATTCTCCGGACAATTTCCCTTCCCACTTTCCAGCTTCCCCAAAGAGCCCTGTTCTGTCCTGCTCCTCCCACGGCTGAGCCACCCTGAAGCTCCCGGAGAGGGGACCAGAGGATCAGAGGACAGTCATGAGCGTGACCCGTCCTCAGCTGGTCCAAAGGGCGCCAGGGTATCCCGAGCCGACAGCACCCGGGTGCTTCCATTGGGAAGATGATTCCCCCTTTAGAGCTGGGTGCCTTGAATTGACCAGCTCCTGGGCTCCCCAACTGGACCGCTGTGCTGGAGTTTCCTGCCCAGCTGTTGCTGGTTGGACCCCTTGTGATTCATCCCTGTGCAGCGTGTCGGTCTCTTGGTCCACCGACACCCTGGGCTATTCGAGTGACTATGCGGCCTCTTTTCCTCAGGAGTCCACTCTGAAGCCAAGAGAGTGACACCCTGCTGGCCTGGGCTCCCTGACTTTGGTCAACAGGCTTTGGCAGACAGTTTTACTGAAGCCTGATGCTGTGTCTTGTCAGCCCTATTTCTTTTTCTCCTGGGATGCAAAGAGACGACCTTTCCCTTTTTCTTTCATAACTGACCGGCCAGGGCTGTCTAAGTTCCTCCAGCCTGCAATCAGTTATCTATTATCACATAATCTCTGTACTCTGTACTCACTTTTCCTCTGTACCGGCACACTTGATCTCCAGCCAATCTAGTGTCTTAAGGAATCTAAGCTGCTCTCTGGGCACTTGCTCTTGGGTTCTGTCCAGTTTCACCAATGGCATCTGCATTGTACCACTGGCAAGGACAGCTAGGCTCCAGCAGCCTTTATAACTGCTAGGTGGTGTAGTCGTGCACAAAGAGCAAGAATAATCCTTTTTTAAGGGGTCAGCTTACTGTGACATAAGGATCATCCATCGAACAGTGTGATGCTCATTACTATGAACAATTTTCCCTTTAAAGTTTCCTTTCAAAACAGCACCCCTGGCTGATGACTTGTGCCACTGGAAAACCAAATATCAGTCTCTCCAGTCATATCAGAACACATCCAGAGCATCTGGACCGGTCCTGTCCACACTGTAATGTCCACTACACGCTGGCCACACAATACTGACGCTTTCTGAAGTGTTTTCTTTATTTTTACCTGCTGCACACAAACAAGCACCAGTGACTGCAGACGAGTTCAAGCCAAACCAGTGATGTGAACCTGTGACTGCAGGCATCACGTGCAAACTGTACCAGAACAGTGGAGAAGAGCACAACGGGTTTTGTGTAATTATTCAACCAATCAGTTTTATTTTTTTACTGAATGCCCTGGGTGTCTCAGGACAGGCAGGCCCAGTCCAGCTGAAATCAGGAGACTAAACAGAACTGTAGTTTACTGCAGTGAGCTTTCTGCTGGTGTGAATCCTGATACACACTCTAGACACCTGCATCTGTACTTTCATCTGAGAGAGGAGTGAGATACAGATCATTTCATCCTGTCTGTCTGCTCTCTGATCCACAGCTGATCCCAATCTCATCCTGTCTGAGGATGGGAAACAAGTGAGACATAGATACACACTACAGGATCTCCCTGACAATCCAGAGAGATTTGATCGTTGTGTCAATGTCCTGGGAAAGGATGGGATCACCTCAGGGAGACACTACTGGTGTCACGCCCTCTGCAGCCAGAGGGCGCTCCTTCTCTGTCCTGTCATTAGTTTCCAGTCTGTTGTCCTTCCTGTCCCTCTCTTTCCCTTGGGCTATATATTTCCGGGTCTTGCACTCTGTCCTCGCTCAGCATTGACGTTTGGATGTCCTGAGACCTGCCTAGCACCAGGGCGCCCCACGTCCGCTCCCTGAGGGCATAGGTTTCTATACGACATTCCTGAACTCTTTGCACTAATGAGCCCGGGCCTTTTTCCCGTCTCGCCGCTACGCATATGGGTCTTTTTCCACTCTCCTGCTCCCCACGGTTAGTCCCTTTGGACATCCATGACAACTGGGAGGTGGAGGTGGGGGAGAAGACTGACTGGACATTGGGAGCCGCCAGAGAGTCCAGCAACAGGAAGGGGGTCATCACACTGAGCCCCCAGTATGGTTACTGGGTTGTGTGGCTGAGCAATGGGAATGAGTACTGGGCTCTTGATGACTCCTCAGTCCTCCTCCCCCTGAGCCAGAAGCCCCAGAAGGTGGGGGTGTATGTGGACTGTGAGGGGGGACAGGTCTCCTTTAACAATGTGGACAACAGGTCTCATATCTACACCTTCACTGCCTCCTTCACTGAGAAACTCTTTCCGTACTTCAGCCCTTGTACCAATGAGGGAGGTACAAACTCAGCCCCACTGATCATCTGTCCTGTCAGTCACACAGGCTGAATCAGCACATTGTCTGATTGTCTCTCTGGAATGCAAATCATTTAGTTCTTATCTTGTTTGGGTCAAATTCTTCTTTTTTCTTTGGTGTTATGTGATATCCAACCACAGCTTGGCATGTCCACCCAAGTTCGTGTATTTGCTTTCAACGCTACACGTTTATTTACCAAAAACAACGTTTTTTAATTTTTCAAATATATTTTTTCAAAGTATTGCAAATAGAATTGATCTCCAATATCCTCTAAACATGACCATAAAGTTTGTTTTCACTGCAGTAAAACTATTTTATAACAAATTCAGAATATAGTGGTGACAAGTACTTTACACAGAAGTTGCACAACGGTTGAATAATTTATGTTTTTACCAACAAAACCAAAACACAAAACCACATACTGTACATCACAAAACACAAGACAGCCCGAGCTTTTCAGAACTGTGTTTTGTAACTAGATACAGTACATCAGCAGAAAGCAATTGAACCTTTTTCTCGTGTTTAGAGAAGTAAGAATGTAATTTATCGGTTCTCCAGCGAAATGCAAGCACGAAAGCAATAATTCTCTAAAATAAATGAACATTTCACCTAAGTAAGCGCGTTCATGTTACTGTTTTACTGTGAAAACTCACGAGTCCCTGAGCCCTAAACTCTCCCCCAGTCGCTCTTCTGTGACGCAGCGCAAGTGGGACTTCAGGGGCGCCTTCACCCACAAGAGTAAATGGTCTGATACTGCTCCCTCTATTCATGCTTTTAAGGTGGAATTCCTTTTTATTTCAATTCTATTCGAAATTTAAGGAATAAAAAGGCAAGACATACAATGGAATAATGTAAAAAGTTTAATTTTTAGCTTTTTGTAATTCCTCTTGCTGTGAAGTGCGTCTGTTTTCGTATCTTTTTTAATATTTTGTCTCCTTTTTTGTATTTCTGATGTTTAAATCACAACTTAATATAATAAAAGAGCTCAGGGTCCAAACGCTTCCTGTCGGTGCCTCTTTCCCAGTGGCTGAGTGCATGTCTGACGATAATTCATTTTAAAAGAATATTTCCTTCTCCGCCCGCAGTTTGATGACGTTGAATTTCATCGCGTCTGTCCCTGCACAGATGTAGCGACATATTGTGATCGTTCAAGTGGAGCCGCTCGGCTCAAAACAGGCGAAGTAGAGCAAGGAAAGGTAGGCAATATCGCTGTCGTTTTATTCAAAACTTTGTACTTTTGTACGAAATACTGTAGCGTCCACATGGGGGCTGTGGCCATGCGCACGCAAGGCAGGCTGGGAACGCTGGCTGAGGGGCGGGACTCAGGGACGGAGACGCCCTCTTCTCTCTTGTGTGTGTAATGTTGCCATAGCCAAAATGTAATGTAGTGGCTCTCTGA